GCTCAGGGAGAGAAGATTAGAGATTTGGAGTTTTGTCTGGAAGAGCACAGAGAGAAGCTGAATGCCACAGAAGAAATGCTGCAGCAGGTACGTGTGGAAGCCGGCACCAAGGTGGGCTTTTCCAGCTGAGCTCTTTGAGGTGCTGCGTTTCCGTGTAGTGTTTGCTCTGATGCAGCAGTAAGTTTCAAGATACACTTAGACTAGCACATTTCAAGCAAAAATCTACAGTAGCAGAGTCTCAAAACACACACAATATAAAGTGTTTATGTAATTAGAATCTGGAATAAAATATTAATAGATTGTAGGTTATTTTAATTTTCTTTTTCTTTGGCATTCAGATGGTTTCCTAACTCTCAACCAAGAGCATATATTTTATGATTAAGAAAAAAGGCAAGCACCACATATGACCTTTGTTACTGGGGAAAATTTCATACCATATACACATGCACACACACACAAACGGTGCTCACATACGAGAGGCTCTGTAATATAGCGGATAGTGGACACGCTGTAGCAAAACTGCTCAAGTTTGAATTCCTGCTCTGCCCTATCCTTGCTGTATAACTTTTGGTAAATTCTTAACCTTTCTGTTCCTCAGCTTCCTCATCTTTTGAGTAAAAATAATAGGATTTTCTACCTGACAAGATTGCTGTGAGGATTGAAGCACTGTATGTCAGAACAGTGCCTGGCACATAGTAAATACAAGGTGTGTCTGGAAAGTATCCAGCCATTGTTAATACAACGAGAATGGTTTGCATGACATGGATGTAACCTAGCAGCCAAGGAGAATAGACTGGGATGCGCGTGCATGAACAATGACTTCACTGTACTAGTCAGTGGGGCGCTAGATGCCGTTGAGTGAGTGTGTGTACTGTGTGGCCGTCGCGTTCAAAATGACTGAGCTAGTAGAGCAACGAATCTGCATCACATTTTGCGTTAAGCTTGAACATTCCTCTGAGGAAACTGTTTGGATGATTAAGAAGGCTTTTGGTTGGGGACAATGCAATGAGTGCCGCTTCAAAGACAGTCGAGAATCTGTTGAAAGTGATCCATGTTCTGGAAGGCCTGCAACAAGCAGAACACCTGAGAATGTTGACCGTGCACGGGTTAGGTTAAGAGATACTGGGAGAACTGTGTGAGGTCCCAAGGTGCCTACTTTGAAGGGGACTGAAGGAAGCATTGTTGTCTTATGTACAATGTTTCTTACATCTTGTATCTTCTTCAGTAAATGTCTCTATTTTTCATACTATATGGCTGGATACTTTCCAGATACACCTCATATAATATCATCATCATCAATGTTACCATCAGGTTTAAGAATATATAAGGTTTATGTATGTGTCTGTGTCTATATAATATGTCTCCCCAGTAAACGCACATGTGTTTATTGCTGCTCAAAAAAAGGGTACCTAAAGTAAATAATTTTTTTAAGTGTATATATTCAGTAATTATACTTTATTGTATCCTCTACTTGACGGGTGCTGTTTTGTAATCATAAATGAGATAAATTCACGTGTGGCTGCTTCTAATGAAACGATTTTGAATGTATCTCTTAAATTCTAATAGGAGCTTCTGAGTAGGACATCTTTAGAAACTCAGAAATTGGATCTGATGGCCGAAATATCTAACTTGAAGTTAAAACTGACGGCTGTGGAGAAGGACAGATTGGATTATGAAGATAGATTTAGGGACACAGAGGTAAGTGACACTATCTCTCTGTCTGTCTGTCTCTTTTCCCACCCTCCTCCTCTCACACACGTTCCTAGGGCAAAGTTGAAATCCCTTGGAGGTGTGCAGGAGAGGTAGTTAATCACTACATGCCCTCATCCTGCTTTGTTTTAAGAATAAACTTTAATTATGTTGACTTCTGATCACTAAATGCGAATGGTAATTTTTATTTTAAGACTTTTAAAAACATTTTTAAGACCTTTGATATGAAATAGTAATCCTTTCACTAACCTTTAAAAATACTTTGGACTTTAGCATATTTGGAGCATCCATCCATTCATCTATACTGGTTTTCTTAATTTTATAAATAATGAGTTTTAATTCATGGTTTTGCTAGTAGTTATTATTTAGGCACACTGATTACTTATTATGTAATTGAATTCTGTTTGTATAGAGAAGATGCTTATATAATCATAAAATCATAGAGTTTTTTGGAGGTCATTTCGCCCTTCTAATTTTGGTCTATTCTACACATAAATCCTTCCAGTTAAATAAGGCTTACTATTATGAAATTCAGGGTATAATCTACAACTTGATAGTGGCTAAACAAGCTTTTTTGTTTGTTCTCCCTATTTTACTATGTTATTGTTAATCCAGATCTTCTAGTTTGTTCGTTTGTTTTGCTGGTCGGGGGAGAGAGCATGTCCATTTGAAATCTGTTCATTTGAAATGAAATGTGAAGAGCTGCAGAAATTCCTTCGGAGGGCCATCTTCCCTCCTATTTTCTATTTTGTTTCTTTGGTTGGAATTTGGAGAGGTGTCTCACTGGATTAGAAGACGGATCCCAAGAAGGAGAGAGAGGGGAAATTATTTATTCTTGCTCTCTGTCTTTATCCCAGACGTTTATTTTGTGCTGACTATATGCCATCATGATACTGGGTATATTACCTATATTATCTGGTGTTCGAAAGTTCTTTATAGATTTGGCGATAATGAGGTTTATTTCATTGCTATTTTCAAAATTAAATTCTCTGTCAAAGATCCAACTATAATGGAAAGCCTTGATATATGTCTTGCTTCCTCCACAGCAAAAGGAAATCTCTGATTTGGTTCATGTTTTAATCTTAAAGTTCTTTGTCAATCACCTATATGAGCATGTTTCCCATTTGAGAGTGGAGCTCTTAAAATAAGACTTAGAAAGTTACTCAGTTTTAAAATTCTTGTTTTGTACTTTCTTTAAAAATCTGCTCTGATGTTTTCCTCTTTCCCCTCTTTTTGTCACTCCCTGATTCCGTAGTCACTGTCAAAGGTAGTAGTAGAACTCAGTCAACAGATGAACAACAGGGCAGTGCAGCCAGCTCTGCTGCAGGGAAGAAATTACAGTAGATGGGCACAGAGGTGGCCTTCTCCATGTGTATGTGAAGTCTAGAGGAAGTCTTAACCTGTGTGACTGTTGTTAGTTTAACTTGGGTACAAAATGTGAACCAAATGTTAGGACTACATTGTAGTAGATTTTTTTTTTTTTAGGGATAAGATTCCAGAGTAATATTTACATCTCTTGAGTTTGGCTCCTGTTTGTATCAAACTCTTTTCCCTCACTGCTTCCCTACTTCACTCATGATCCCCA